CGAGGGCCGTCCCTTGGAGACCTGTGTGCCTGGCCCCCAGCAGCCCGCGTCTCTCAGACCGCCCTCCCTCCTCCTTCCTCTCTGCAGTCCGCTCCTGGGCGTCCGGCCGCCCCTGACAATGCAGCCCGTGGCAGTCAATAAAGAGCAGGTGACACAGCACCCCGCGCCTGGTGGCCCTGCTGTCTCCATGCGGGCAGAGTGGGGAGTCGCGGAGAAGGGGCGCCGCGGCTCAGAGTGGGGGTGTGAGGGAGGACAGGGGCTCACCTGTTCCTGTCCCACCTCGTCTCTAAGTGACACGTGACGTCCTCGCTTCCAGTCCCTCCACCGGCTTCGCAGGAGGGGAGAGGTTTTCAGAACTCGGAGGGAAGGAGGGAGGAGGGAAGAGGCTGGGAGGAGGAGAGCCTCAGGCTCCTTCCCCAGTGCTCCTGGGAACTGGGTGCCAGGCGGGGCCTCGCCCTCGGCCTGGCTCCCCGCCCCCAGGGGGCTGCTCTCCGGGCTCCCCTGGGGTGTCCTTTAGGGATCCTACCTACTAGGTTCCTAAGGGATGAGAAACAGCATTAGGCGTGGCAGGACGCGTCCACCTCTATTTGGCACCAGGCCCTGGCACCACAGGGGAGGCACTGCCCCCACTGCCTCCCCCTCCATGGAAAAGGCACGGGGTTGTCAGGGGCTTGGGGAGACCAGAGCTGAAGGCCCCCACCAGCAGCAGGAGGCCTCAGTGTTCACCCAACTCCCTAAGGTGGGAGGAGACAAGGCCTGGGGGCCCACAGCCTCAGGGCAGGGGTGGCTCAGCCAGGGGCTCTGGCAGGTGCATCGTGACCACAGAGGGTGAGGTGGGTGGCCAGATGGAGCAGCCAGTGGACAGTGTGGCCGCATGGGCTCTGCCTGTGTGGTCAGGTAAGCAGTTCTCTCCCAGGGAGCCCAGTAGACAGTCCTTGGGTGGTGCCCTCCCTCTTTCTGGAACAAACTAGACCCCCAGAAGGGAGGACACACGAAGAAAAAAATTTCCCAAAGTGATTCCTTTTCCACACGCAGTGACACGGTGCACTGTCATTTTAAGTCAGCGGTCCTCAACCTGTGGGTCGTAACCCCTTTGGCGGTTGAGTGACCCTTTCACAGGGGTCGCCTAAGACC